ATCTTGGACTTGTGATCACTCTTTATATAGCGGACAAAAGTAAACTTTAGGACTTGTGATCACTCTGATTATAGTGGACAAGTGTAAACTATTTCATTTGTTACAACTCTATAAACCATGGACTTGTAAACACTCTTTATACATTAGACATGTGCAAACTCTTGGACTTTAGATAATATAACTCTATATATCTTGAACTTGTGATCACTCTGTTTATAGTGGACAAGTGCAAACTATGATACTTGTGACAACTCTATAAACCTTGGACATGTGAACACTCTTTATACATTGGACAAGTTGTAAACTATTGGACTTGTGACAATTCTATATACCTTGGACTTGTGAACACTCTTTATACATTTGACAGGTGTAAACTTTAGGACAAGTGATGTCTCTGAAAGCAATGCGCACGGGGACTTAGAAAATTTTTTTCGATCGGATATGAGTTGGGTTTAGACGATTGAGAGACAATTTTTCAAAATGATCACTCGGCTACTAGCTTTGAGGAGGAAGCAATGCTTGAGAAGGAAGGCTTGTAATAATGTAAAAAAAAAAAAAATTTTTTTTCTCAAAGTACTTGGAGCCCAGTTTAGTCTTGTGTACATCACTTGGAGAATTCTCCCATAAGACATAATGCATAACACCATGAATCGCGGTACACTTTTTTTTGCGATTTGGATCCTTATAAGGAGTGGTATTTGAAAAATTTTTTCGATTGTATATAAGTTGGGTTTAGACGAATAATGAAAAAGCAATGCGCACCAAAAATTTTTCAAAACAAAAAATAATTTCAAAAAAAAAAAAAATTTTTTTTTCGCTTGAAAACATTTTTTGAGTGAAGATGAGTTTAGTTTAAACGATATATAAAAGCAATGCGCACGGGAACTTTGAAAAATTTGTCGAATAGATATGAGTTGGGTTTAGACGAATTGAAAAAAGAAAAAATTGTATTTTATTGGTTAAGTACTTGAAGACCTGTTCGGGCTAGTGTACATCACTTGGAGACTTTTCGCATAAGAGTTAATGCATAAGACCATGAATCGCGGTACACTTTTTTTTTTGATTTGGATCCTTGTAAGCACAGCATTGTCACGGGTCGGCGTCTAAGACCAAATGGCCCTTATGTGACGAGCGCCTTGGGCGTTTTAGTATGAATTTTTTCATTTTTGAAAATAATTTTATACTTATACAACAG